AGATTTTCAAAATTATGTACAGTATAATAAACAATGATAACATTTGACAAACCCATAGGATATTTGGAATAAAGTACGACAAATATATTTTGTCACTCCCCTCTATATATCATTTTTGGATCATGACAAATATCCAGTTAAATAGTCAAGTGTCTACAATTAGTCAAGAAACTATACATTCCTTATAGCACGAAATCCTATTAGTAGTGCCATCATAATTTTTGGTACTATATTAACATTTCTAAAATCGTGTATTGATATCAGTAGTTATTTTCAAACATTCAATTCATTTCACAAAACTCCATCTAAAATATAAATATTTTTTGCTACATGTTTTAATTTGCATATACCTATTTTACATATCTCAGATTGTATTTAAAAATCGTCAACCAATTCTTCTAACTTTTGGCGAAATGGTGTTTTATTAATTTATCATTTGATATTATTAGGGTTCTTTCCTGGTATTCGAAAAGGAAAAATACGTGTCGTTCAGTTATATTTTTCAATTTATCAAACAATTTGGCCGCTGAATCTCTGATTTTGGTAGAGCGTCATCTAGCGAATAAAGTTGTAACTAAAATCAATTTCGAATTTTTCATTATTTGCCATAAAAAATCCCATTGCATCCTGAACACAATGGTGTTTACCGCATTGCTCTAGCGCAAATATTCGCGGAGTTATTAATTTTTAAAGTTGTGCGGGACTTTTGGATCACCCTGTATATTATTTTGCGCCGTCGGGAAAATGGGCTGAATCTCTCATCTGTATTGTGATATTTGTAAACACATCAGACAACACTGCCATAGATTATTGCACACAAATTCGATGGCGTTCTCTTCTGTTGTGGGATAATTAGATCATTGAACAATGAAGGATATGCCATTGTACCTGCAAGGTAGACAACTGAATGAGGAACGGTGGACCTTTGAAAAAGGCCCGGTGGACCATTAGATTCTGCATGATGGACTATTAAATCACGAACGAAGAATCAGTTAAACATGCACGGGGTACGATTAAACAATGCCGGTTAAGCATTGAACATAGCACAGTGAACTATTTAAAATTTTACACAGTGAAATATTTTCATCATGCAGAGTAGACCATTGCTCAATCATGCATGTTGGAATTTTGAAGAATCATGCACGGTGGACCATTCTTGACTTATTCACGGTGAACCATTGTTGAATAACATAAGGTTGATCATTGTTTACTCAAGCACAGCGAATCATTGTTGACTCATGCACGGAAAACGATTGTTTATTCACGTAGGGTGAACCATTCTTAAACTATGAAAGGCGAAAAATTGTTCATTCATGAAAGATGGACTTTTGTTTATTCACGCACGGTGGTATTGCTTTATTATGCACGATAGGGTATTGTTGACTCATGCCCGGGAGACCATTGTTGACTCATGCACGTTGTACCATTGCTGAACAATGCACAATGGACAAGTCACAGGTGACTCATACACTGTAGTTCATTGTCAAATCAGCCAGCTCGAACCATTTCCAAAGATGCACGTCGGACCATTGTCGAATGATGTAGGTTGCACCATTTTATAACTATGCACAATAGATTATTGAATCGTGCTCAGAGGGCCACCGTTGAACATTCAGGGTGGACCATTTTTTATTCACATATGGTAGATCATTATAAACACATGAACACATTCACGGTGGTTCATTGTTGACAAACAAATGAAGGTCCATTGTTGAAACATGCACATAGGACCATTGTTAAACCATGCACAGTTGACTATTGTTGACTCACGAACGGGGAACCATTGTAGAATCATGCACGGTGGAATTTTTTTGAATCATTCTCAGGGTGAAAAAATATTTAAACTTGCACGGTGGAACATTGTTTACCCATTCACGGTTGACCATTGTTGATTTAAGGCACGGTAGACTAACATTGAATTATGCAGAGTGGGCCATTGTAACTCACAAACGGTAGACCATTGTTAAACATTGCTCCGTGGATTATTGTTGACTCATTCATGCTGAACCATTGTTAAACCATGATTGGAGTACTTTTATTAAACACTGCACTGTAGACTATGGTTGAACCAAGCACATGGAATATTGTTTAAGCATGCAAGATCGACCATTGTTGACCCGGCACGGTGTATCATTGTTGAATTATGCATTGTTGAACTATGGAAGATAGAACATTATTGAATCATACACGGTTTTTTTTATCATTCACGGTGTACCTTCAAACGATGCATGATGGAACATTATTGAATCATGCACGGAGGACCATTGATTGATGCACGGTGGACCCTTGTTTGTTCAATCATGGTGGAAAATTATTTAATCATGCCTAAGGTAATATTGTTGCATCATGCACAGTGGAATATGTTTTGAAGTATACATTGTGAACTATTGTTTATTCATGCATAGTGTATAATATTCGACCAATGCACGATCGATAAATCTTGACTTATGCACTTTGGATCATAGTTGATTCATAAATGGCTAAACATTATTAAACCAATTACAGTGGATTATTTTATACTAATACACGAGGAACTATTGTTGAACCTTGCAAAATATGCCATTGTCGTCTAATGCACGGTTGATCCACTGTTGAATAAATGACCGTGAATAATTGTTGATTAATGCACTTTGGACAATTGTTGACGATGCACCGTGGATCATTGTTGGCTAATGCATTGTGGATCATTGTTGAGTGATGCATGGTGGAACATTGTTTACACATGCACGATCGACCATTGTTTAAACATGCACGGTGGCCAATTGTGAACAATACTCAGTGGACCTCTGTTGAATAATGCACGATGGAAAATTGGTTAGCCATGCGAGGTGGACAATTCCCAACGCATGCATTGTGGATCATTTTTGTACCATTCAAGTTGGGCCATTATTGACTTGTGCACGATTGAAAATTGTTGATTCATGCATAGTGAACGACTGTTGAACTGCAGAGAATACCTTAGAATAATGCACGGTGGAACATTAAACAATGCACAAATGATCATTGCTGAACCATACAGAGTAGTACATGATTGATTCATGCACGGTGGACAATTGAATCCTACACAGTGGACCCTTTGTTGAATGATTCACGGTGATAAATTGTTGGATCATACATAAGGGAATATTGTTGGATCATTCTGGTATATAAATGTTGACACCTATACGGATAACTATAGTTGACAAACATACGTTTGGCCATTGTTGACTTATGTACGTTGGACCATTGTTGAACAAGGCACGATAGACTATTGTAGACTCACGAACAATTCACCATTGTTGACTCATGCAATGTGTACCTTTAATAAATCATGCACGTTGTGCTTTTACGAATATGCGAGGTGGACCTTTATTGAATCACGCTAATTGAATAATATTTGACATATTCGAGGTAAATAATTTTCGTTTCATGCACGATGGCTTATTTTTGAATCATGCACAGTGGACATCTGTTTATTCATACACGGTGACTTATTGTTAAACCATGCACAGTAGCCCAATTCTAAATTATGCACTGTGTACCATTGTTGAAGGTTAAAAGATCGACTATTGATTCATGTTAGCTGGACCCTCATTGAATCATGCACAGTGGAAAATAGTTGAATCGATAACGGTTGACCATTTTTGACACGCCTATGGTGGCTTATTGTTGAAACACGCATGTAGGACCAATGTTAAACCATTCACATTGTGCCATTGATTTTTTTCGAACGGTGATTCATTGTTGAATCATGCATATCATGCAATCATTCATTCAATGCATAAGGCAACAATTCTGAATCATGTAAGGTAGAATTTATTCGAACCATGAACGAGGGACTATTGCTTGATGTGGCAAGGTATGTCATTTTTACTCATGCGGTTGGATCAATGTTAATTCATAAACGGCTAAACATTGTTGAACCAATTAGGGTGGATAATTTCAGACTATTGCACGATGCACAATTGTTGAAACATGCAGGGTGGACCATTGTAGACAAATGCGCGGAAGACCATTGTTGACTAATGCATGGTGGGCCATTGTTGAATCATGCACCCAGAATTTATTGAATATTTCAAAGAGAAACATTGTCAAGCATACAGGATGGAGTTTTATTCAATCATGCATGGTCGATCCTTGTTGATTCATGCACGGTAGATTATTGTTAAGCCATGCAAGGTGGATATTTGCTAATATGTATGCATTATGAACAACTTTTGTACCATGCACGGTGGATCATTATTGATTCGTGCATGATGTAATATTTTGCAATTATGTGCGGATAGTTATTGTTGACCCATGCAGGCAAGATTTTTGAATAATACATGCTTTAAGATTGAACAATGCACACCCATGCAGAGTAGTCCATTGTTGAATAATGCACGGTGGACAATTGAATTCTACACGGTGGACCCTTGTTGAAAGATGCACCGTGGAAATTTGTTGTATAGTGCATATTGAAACAATGTTGGATCATTTAAGGTGGACCATTTTTGACACACATCCGGATAACCATTGTTGATACACATAGGTTTGACCTTTGTTGAATCATGCACGTTAGATCATTGGTGAGCCATGCATTGTAGACTATTTTTATAATGTGAAATAAGGAGGATTATTGACCCATGCACTTGGAGTATTGTTGCCTCATTCACGGTAAGCCATTGTTGACCTATGCAGGGAGGACCTTTGAATAATACACGGAAGACCATTGCTGACCATACAGATTGATTCATTGTTGAATCATGCAAGTTGGACAAATGAATCCTACACAGTGTACTCATGTTGAATGATGCACGGTGGAAAATTGTTGAATTATTGACGGTTAATCATTGTTGACATACATACGGGTGACCCTTGTTGACACACATACGTTGGACCATTGTTTACTCATGCACGTTAGATCATTGTTGAACCAGGCACGATGGACAATTATAGACAAACAAACGGTTCTCAATTGTTGAATACTGCTCTTTGGGCCTTCAATAAATAATGCACATTGTTCTGTTTACTATACGTGAGGGGGGTCGGTTGAAAGCTGGCCTAAACAGTTGGTTTTCAACCGCTACGACCCGGGTTTGATTCCCGCATTCTGCACTTTTTCTTATTCAAAAAGAAATGTCCCATCGGCCCCCGATTTTTGCAAAAGTCCAACCCCACCAGCGAGTGCAATAACCAAACGGGGTTCTTGCACATTTATTTGTAAGTGCAAATTCGAACTGCCTTCCACATGTATAGACATGTGGTGCACTTACAGTAAAAGCAGTCGCCTTCTTTAACCTACCATGAATCTTTGAATAATGATCAGGTTCCAATTATAAAATGCAAATCCATGCAAAGAAGTCCATTATTGAATCAGAAACAGTGGGCAATTTTTTTTTGAACCCTAAACGGTGAACCCTTGTTGAATGATGCACGGTAGAATTTTTTGGATCATGCATATTGGAACATTGTTGAAATATTTGACGGTGGACTATTGTTGACACATATACGGAAGATTATTGTTGACACATGCATGTTGGACCATTGTTGAATTAGGCCCAGTGGACCATTGTAGACTTACTAAAGCTTCACCATTGTTGACTTATTTACTATGGACCTTTAGTAAAACATTTACACTCTACTATCCACGAACCTTTCGCAGTTGACCATTATTGAATCGTGAAAATTTGATAATTGTTGGCATATACATGTTAATTCATGCACTGCAGACTATTTGATATTTCACGATGGACCATCAAACTATACATGATACAGCATTACTGAACCTTCCAGGAAAGACCACTGTTGAATTATGCACCGCGGAACATTTTTGAATCGTGTTTGGTGTATTAATGTTGAATTGTAAATTTGGACCATTGTTGACTCACGCACCGTTGATCATTTTCGAACAATGCATAAATAACCTTTGTCGAATCATATAGGGTGGACCATTATTTACTTATGGACGGCCGACATTGTTGAACCATGAACGATGGATCACTGTTGACTAAAGAACCTTGGTTCATTGTTGAATCATGCACGTTGGGTTTTTTTTTAACCATACACGGAGGACTATTCTTTTCTTGATTCCTGGACAATTTTTGAATTGTACACGTAGCACACTTTTTACCACAAACGGCGAACCTATTTTGACTCTGCACCACCGATCATCGTCGACCCATGCACGGTAAACCATTGTTCAGCAAAAAACCATGAACTGCTGTTGAATCATGCACGGTGGGCCATTTTTGAATAATAAACCTTTGTTGATTGATTTAAGGTGGAAAATTGTTGACTCAGGCGCGCTGGACCATTGTTAAAAATCTTAGTTTATCATTGTTTATTCATGCAAGGGGTTCATTTTTGAATTTTGCCCGGTGCACTATTGTTAAACCTCGCACAATGGACCATTGTCGACTTTCTTAAATATATCTCCTTAATCTCCCATCTGTTATTTTTATTTTATATTCAAAAACTTTATTATGAATTATACGAGGATATATATATATTTAAAATAAAAAAGGCAACTCCTGACCACGAGCACATGTGCTTTTTAGATGGCATAGCGCCATCTAGTGCAACAAAAATAAACCCAATTTCTTGATAAATCAAGAAAAGCCATCCACGAACGCGTTTCGCGCTGTTGGCGCTCGTCAGCGTGGAGTAGTCTGTAACCACTGCGACCAAAAATAATTTTGGTCCCAGAGGCTTCTTGAGGAATTTTTGGTCGCAGTGGTAAAAGCCTACTCCACGCTGAAGAGCGCCAACAGCGCGAAACGCGTTCCTGTATGACTTTTCTTGATTTATCAAGAAATTGGGTTGGCCAAATATCACGGAGCAAGCTAAATAAAAGTTTAGTGTATTTTTGGTCCATTAGATGGCGCTCTGCCATCTAAAAAGCACATGTGTTCGTGGTCAGGAGATGCCTTTTTTTATTTTTCATATATATATATTCTTTTAAGATCAATTCTTTTAAGAAACTATAATAAAAATATAGTTAAAATGTTTTGTCGCGGGCACTCTGCCTAAATATTGAATGAAAAACAATTAGGCACTATTTGGAAGGTAACCTGCCTGGCTAGAAATAAAGTAATATAAGTGTTAGACCTTGGATTTTGCAGTATTAAATCTATAAAAAGGTCACATGAAAGACGATAAAATAGTTCATACTTGATGTATCTATAGAATTTCTATGTAAGAGAGTGAGTGAAGATAATATAAAATTTCATCCTTAAATCCAGTTTGTTTTGAGAACGAATTATTTTAACATCACACATACATATAACCACAGTCACCAATACTTTCACCAAGGTATTGTATTTTTAGAAGAGATCAAAGGTAAACGCGACGCGTTTTTTTATTTGAAAGGCTTTCGGACAATAACGTCCTTCAAAAGGCCATTACACGAATAATAATAAAAAATAAGGTAGTATATTGTCACGTTTGTGGATTTTATAATTAATTTCTTTTTTTTTTCAATGAATTTTGTATATTAAAATCAAAATGTCATTTTTGTTATCATCATCACATACAATGTAATTTTTTGATAAACAAACGATAATAAATAACGACAACAATGTAATTTGCATCTTCATTATTATATATAAAACAACAATAATATAAATTAACAATGTAAAAATATATTTTAATATTACAACATTTTAAAATTTAACACAAAAACGTTACTTTATATTTTGGCGCAGCCGACAGGATACCATACAGAAGGCTTCGACGCAAGAAAGGTAAAATGGCGGCAGGCGTAAACAAATTAGAAATATTTAGCGGTGAGAAAGGTTCAATTCGTCCTGAATCCTGGCTTAAACTATATGAATTAGAAACTATCAAGCTAGATGTGTGAAAGTGAAAGAATCAATAGGTTAATTTACTATTTATCAAAAGATATTTTGGAATGGTTCGCTGATGAGATATTAGGCAATTCAGCTATTAAAAAATGGGATACTGTAAAGTCTAAATTAATCCAGCGTTTCGGTTACAAAGTTAAAAACCCTATAGTAGCAGCATCTAAAAGAAGACTTAGAAATGAAGAAACAGTCGAAGATTATTATAGGGAGAAAATTACACTATTGAATCAAACAAGCCTCAATAATATAGAAAAATTACAAATGCTTAGATGGATTACCATTAGAATGGAAGAATCATTTTTTTAGGCAGCCCAGCCTAAAGATCTCTCACATTGGATGCAAATAGCCATGGAAATTGAAAAAAAAGTAAAATAAAGCAACAGGGAAAACAAAGATTTTAATATGACTACATCTACAACCTCAAAAAATTGCCCATATACACTGCGTGACATTGAAAATGGAACACCAAGAAATAGTGGCCAGAAAATTATGCAAATTTCAGGGTAGACGCGCCTAACCGAGTTATGCAAATGATGTAAAATGCGCAGCTCTCGTGCGCACATGGAGTAAGATATAAGGGAAGGAACTTGCAGAAAGGACAGTATTCGTGTCGTTATTTCTTCAAGGAAAATCATTGTAGAAATTTTGTTCTTGTGTTAAAAGACACGTGTAATAACAGAGAATCCCAGGTCATCGTAAACGGAGGCAGTTCAAGCAGACAGACGCTTTTACGAGGGGCATGGTGATCGGACTGAAAAGGTCAGGTTGGTCCATACGTCAAATCGCAGCTGATACACACCTTGGTGCGTCCACGGTGCACCGACTGTGGAGAAGATGGTTGGAACAAGGAAATGTGGCAATTTATAGGAATGCCGGTGCAACCAGAGTGACGTCAGCACGTGTGGATCGGCGTATCCTTCGAGAAGCAGTGGCGGCCCCACAAGCCACTTGTACCGCCATCCTGCAACATGTGCAAGACACCCTAGATCATTCCATCTCGACCAGAACCATTTCCCGTCGATTGGTTGCTAATGGCTTGCACTCATGCCGTCCGCTAAGAAGACTGCCATTGACCCCACCGAATAGGCGCCAACGTTTGGAATGGTGCCGGGCTAGATCGACGTGGATGACGGAATGGTACAGGGTCGTGTTCTCAGATGAGTCGCGTTTCTGCTTGTCCAGTGATAGTCGCCGTGTACGCGTGTGGCGTCGACGTGGAGAAAGGTCCAATCCGGCAGCAATTGTGGAACGCCCCACCGTGCGACAACGTGGAATCATGGTTTGGGGCGCAATCGCGTATGATTCCAGGTCACCTTTACTTCGTATTCAGGGCACTATGACGGCCCAACGATACGTTGATGATGTGCTGCGACCGGTGACACTCCCCTACCTTCAGGGGGTACCCAATGCCCTTTATCAGCAGGATAACGCCCGACCGCACACTGCTCGCATTAGCCAACAAACTCTGCAAGATGTGCAGATGCTTCCCTGGCCACCGGACTCTCCTGATCTCTCACCAATCGAGCACGTCTGGGACATCATTGGACGCCGTTTGCATGCCTTGCCACAGCCGCGTTCAGAAGACGAACTGTGGAAAATGGTTGAGAGGGAATGGAGAGCCATCCCTCAGGACGCCATCCGTACTCTGATTGACTCTCTACCTAGACGTGTGGCTGCGTGCATCGCCGTCCGCGGTGGTCCTACTTGCTACTAAGCCGACGCCGTTCTCGCTCTGTATTATGACTATCATTTTGAAATAAAGATCACTTATTGTTCGTCCCTGTCTCTCTCTGTCTGCCGAGTTTCATCACTTTCTGGCCACTATTTCTTGGTGTTCCATTTTCAATGTCACGCAGTGTATTTGCCCAATTTGTAAAAAAAAAAAGATTGCATCTCAAACATTGGATAAATGACTAAGTATTTTGATCCAAATTATAAAGTTAACCAGCAGAGACATCAACCAACTACCACAGATACTGAACAACCAACTGCTGATTCATTTTGCATATCAAATATCACCAATCCATATAAATATGCTAATGTTTCGAGTTTTACTACTATGATAAGCTCATTTTATCTTTTATTGATACTGGCTCCACTATTTCATTAATCAGTTGGTCACTTTTAAAACAACTTAATTTAAAATTGAATAAAAATGATATAATTAAAATTAAACAGGTGAACAGTTATACCTTAGGTTCGGTTGAAGTAACTTTGAACTTCCATTCTAAACTTGTTCAAGCTGTGGGTCAC